TCTCAAAGAGGCAAGAGTTGTTGAATGGTGCAAAGAATGGCGAGACTCACTGACGATGCCGGCAAAATGTCTGGGAATGTACCACATCCACGGTCCTACTCTGGGAATGATGATGCATACAATGGACTCCGGACTAGATGCGTTCCTCTAAGTCTTCCTACTAATATGAACATGTTGCGAAAACAAGGTCAAACAACCTCTATAAGATGTTTCCAAGTTTTATCCTTTTCCGACCCAATCTCTCCAATTCACAATCAATTTGGCATGCGTTTTCTCATTCAGCGTGAGTTGGTAGATTGTCAGCTTAATAGCAAGGTAATTACTTAATTCGTTTGGCAGGCGACCGTAAAATCATATACAGCAGTCTTCGTGCGACCATATAAGCAACTAAATAGTCATTCTCCCGGTCAGATATCACATGATAACAAAACGAGAATGATCGAAGAAGATATGACAGGTAAGTGAGCTGCGAAAAACACAGAAATAAATATTTTAGGTATGAAGACCAGGATGGTGTGGACTTTTGTATGGTCGCGATCTTATTTCGTTGTATAGAAGTTGTTTGATCTTGCTTTCGCAACTTGATCATATTAGCAGGAAGACCTAGAGTAACGCACCTTGTAAGGAGTCCAGAGTATGCATGATTATCTCCAAAGTCGGACCGTGGACTTGGTACATTCCAAGACGTTTCGTTGGCATCGTCAGTGAGTCTTGCCATTCTCAGCACCAAACTACAACTCGTCAAAGAGACAAGTGAAGTCAATCCCTTGACCAACTTTCTGTTCCATTCATGTTCCTTGATCTTTCTCCCAGTTTCGCCAATGTATTTCTGTTCGCAGACGTGGCATGCTATGCAGTTAACTCCGGATCAATTAAATTTATCTACCCTCTCATGCTGCGTGGGTAGGGTTATGAAGAGTGTAACTTTTTCCTTTGTGGTCACCTGAATATTCCATTTTATTATTATTGGCTGTAGTTTTTGAGCTAGTTCCTAGAAGGGGTAAATATCCACTTTTATGAGTCTTTCTTCATCTTTATCTTTCTTTCATGATCTCCGTACTGTCATTGGCTCTTCACTGCCAGTATGTTTCTTTGAATTACTTCTCTCAGAAATCCATTACCGAGGAATATTCAAGACAATTTTTCCTATTCTTCATCCCAGCATTCCATGTCCGTTAATTGTAGGCTTCTAATGATCATGCTCCTCAGTATGCCTATCTTCATTCTGTAGTTATGATGAGGCTCAAAATTGAGTTTTATTCCGGCGTATGACTTCTTTCAGAACAATTTCCTCTTGACCGTCCTAGTTGAGCGAAAAACTCGACATCTAGGAAAGCCCCCGAAGTAAATATTTTAGCTTTTTGATTTGTTTTCCCCTCTACCCAATTGCAACCCGTTCCTTTACTTACCTCTGCTATAATCCCGCACCTGCACACACACATACACACACACATATCTAACATTTGTTACCATGTCCAGACACCACCCAGATTGGCCTTCAGTCGACGGACGTTCTGCCCTACGAAACAATAACAAAGGTGGAGTTCGAGACGCGTCGAGACCGCCATGATTTTGTGGAATGGGGCGTATTCAATAGCGCTTTTTACGGTACCAGTCGACAGAGTATCGACTCCCTCGTTCAGGCCGGCAAGGTCTGCTGCCTCGCACTTCGACCTGACGTGAGTATGAGCCACAAGTGTTGGTGTGTTTTCTGTTGTTTGTATGAGCCATCCCGTTTGCTGCTAGCGGCAGTACGATGAGAAAATATAGGGTGAATCTCGCTCACACTTTCTTGTGATGAGTTTTTATGCATTCCTAAGTTCTGCCCACTTCTACACTAGTATGTTGTTCAAATAAAATCCCGCCTCTACTTGAAATCCCTCCAGACAGTATCATGCGTGGGATATATTTTTGCTTCTGCTCATATTCTAGTTGAAGTGTAAAGAAGCAACGCCTTGCACTGGCCAGGAACAGGTTGCGTCTCATGGACACACTTACAATGTCCGACCGGGTACTTGAACGAATGGGAGATTTCAGTCTAAAGTATGTTTTCCTTTAAGAAAACGTGCCGCCTTGTCCTTCTGGTGTACTTTCTCTCTTTATTTTTGCACTGTCTTGCCTCTCCTTAAACTCGAAAATGGGAATTTTTCTTGCCTTAAAAAGATTTCTAGTTTATTGTACAAAAATGGAAAATTATAAAAATGGAAGTTATAGAACAGCCAGAATTATCATAAGAGGCTTAATGCATGAACGTTACTTTTCAGACAGTAAGGATCATTTATTCGATATCCAATTAGTGTTCTTAATCAAGCACTCTCTATTTTACCTTTTACTTTGGCGGCCTAAAGCCTCCTGTCTCAGAAATTTATCGAAAAATACTTTGTACTTCATTATCGTTCAACAGAGAACCTCACTATTTTATTTATACTCTCATCTGCCCCTAATGTATATACACCACAGTCTGTACGTGCTATGCGAAATACTGGCCTTCTGCCCTACGTTATCTTCATCTCCCCGCCAGAGCGTCTGGACGAATTTCGCAAGCTTCGGGCACGTCTAGGCGAGACATACGACTGCACAGTGAGTTACTTGTTCAGCTTTATCGCATCTTGACTAGGGTTGGATAGGGAGCTTGAAGTTTTCCTCTTTAGAGAAAATATCTTTAATTTTAAACAGTCAAACAGCTGGCACAATCCACAGATGGCCATTGTCTTCTCGATAAGTAATCTCTTAAGGAAAAAATGCTTTTATATATAACTGGGTTCCGAAGAATTGTTTAGTGATTTATTGTGACATGCTTTTTCATTTTGAAGGAAAAGTTAATTCAAAGGAATTCTTAAATTGGTCGCCCCGGAAATCGAAGTAAAACTGCCTTGGATTGAGTGCCGTTGGATTGTGCAAAGAAATCCTCATAAACTATGGTTTCTCGCTTCGAAGATGTCTGCCACGGCGATACAGACGAAAGCTTGGCACGGATTTATCGGGGCGGCAGGACGAGGAGCCGAGGATTTCTTCACCGCTCGACAATCCTCCTTAGAATTCCAGTGAGACCAATTCACGGATCCCTTTCACTCAATTGAATGTCATCTCACAATAGCTTTCACACGCCTAGCTACGATGGGCAATTTTTCCAGTTGCTCACCCATTTATGACGACTTGTTGGCCTGACGGCCGATTTAACTGTCCTGAATATGCCTATGCTAGCAACGCAAAACGGCAAATTTGCATGAGGCCAGACAGGCTAGCAAGTTAGGCAAAGGAGAAATTGCCTGCAACTGTCCTTCGATCC